TGCCCTACCAGCTGGGCAGCCTCCCAGTTGAACTGTGACTATGCTCCTAACTCCAGCCACTCTTGGGGTCTTCAAAGTATTTGAAGGCTTCAATACCTGAGATATAGGTGAGAGGATTATTCTAGGAGGAGGTGGGTTAGATTCTGTGGCCTGCACTGTGCAGGGGGTCAGACTAAATGATCCTAATGGTTCCGTCTGACCTTAAGTCTATGAGTCACCTTTGTCTGTTTGCTAGTTGACTACAACTGTTTGGCTTGAACAATGTGGCTATATGATGGATTGTGTGAGGCTAGTTCACTAGCTTCAGAACTGGTTAAACACCATGGCAACTACTACACAAGTTACTTTTTTTAAAGTATCAATCCCTTACTAATACCGTTGGTGTGAGCACCATGGAGAAGACCATTCTGCCACATTTCTGATTAGATACTGAGTCCTTATAGGATATGATGATTTAAAATGTTGGTGGGAGCTGGTGCATCAGCTACCTTATGCATCTGACGAAGTGGGTCTTTGCCCACGAAAGCTTATGCTCCAATACTTCAGTTAGTCTATAAGGTGCCACAGGACTCCTCGCTGCTTTTGCAGATTCAGACTAACAGGGCTACCCCTCTGATACCAGCTACCTTATGGCTTCCACCATTGCTTATATTGGTATATGACATTAGGAACCACTGCCCTCCAGTGAAATGTACAAGTGGAGCTTTGAGCATGATGTAGCAGAGTCAGGACCTTAGAGTACAAAATGAAACTGTGGTTGGTGCTGTTACTTACAAGTTTTTTGCTAGTAATTTCATTTGTATACAATATAAAATGGCAAGACTCTATTTTGAATATTTTTGTTTTCAATCTTGGGGCATGTAGGTAGAAGGTGCATGGAGAAGAAAAGCACAAGTGCAGCACCCACACTATTTGAGAGAACCAATAGTTTTGGTTTATTTTGAGCTGGATCCTGTTGAAACTTTTTCTTTCTGAGGCTCCACCCCCATGTGCTATAAAAATTCCACATCCCACCTGCATCACAACTTTTTTTTACATATTCAATAGATTACAAGCCAAGGCTGGTGTTAGGGGATAGCAACTGGACAATTCCTGGGACCCACACCACAGGAGGCCCTGTGAAGCTAAGTTGCTTGGGTTTCAGCTTCAGCCCCATGTGGCTTTGGTTTTCTGCTCTAGGCTTCAGCAAGTCTGATGCCAACTACTGTCTGGTTTATTTTGGTGAACTCCTTGAAATCAACTTGTGTGCCCCTGGGCCTCAGGACCACTGGCTGAGAACAGCTGCTTTAAACAACACCAGTTTTAACTTTTGTATATATTCCAGTATTGTTGGTAATTTTTACTGACAGTTTTTCTAACTTTAAAGGGAAACAGTCAACATAAAATCACATTTTATGTGATTATGAAATATTAGCTTGGTATTTTTTTGGAATTAGCCCCTGCAGGGTTTACTATAACTAAAAGATTGAAGAGAGGTTTTTAGTTCTCTTAGTGTGTTTACTTTGTGCATTTGACAATAATTTCACTATTTCATTGATAATTGTACTTTGAATCAATTGCTCTAGCATGCTGACATCATCATGGCTGAGAATATAGTGGTCAGTGTCTTTAAAAGACCAGTACTCCTCACTGCTTCCCCAGGCTCTTCAATACAATGTTCATGAGTAAGTCAGGGTCTGCACTTTAAAATCAGAATGACTTAACTGCCATGCTTCAACGTAGTTAAATTGACATAAGACCAGGTGCAGAGAGAATTAGGCTGATGGAACTTAGCTACCACCTTTTGGTGAGGTGAATTAACTACATCAGTGGAAAAACCCTGTCTGACAAAGTAGGAAGCATCGCCACTATGGTACTATGGCAGCACAGTGCAGTATCTATGCCACTATGGTGTAGATGTGGTCTAAGGCTTTGTTAGCGAAATACACTGTGTGCTCTCCTAACCCACCTTATGTTTGCTCGCAAATGTAATCCCAGTGGTGTATGTGAGTGTCAGCTGTAGTTTGAATTAGGTTTACTTCCAGCAAGACTAACCCTTGTCAGTATCCTCTAAATTATGTTAGCCAATGGGATTGAATGTGATAGCACTGACAATGCAAACAGTGCTTCCAGAGCTATCCCGTAATTTCCCTGCCTCTGTAATTAGCTGTTGGATAGACACCCAGAAAGCATGGCAGCTCGCCTTTGGGTTCATAGAATCATAAAAGTGTAAGCAATCTCGAGAGGATATCAAATCCAGTTCTCTGTTGTCATGGTAGACTCAAAGCACCATCTAGACTGTCCCTGACAAATGTTTGTCTAACCTCTTAAAAATCTCCAGTGACAGAGATTACACAACCTCCCTAGGTGATTTATTCTAGTGGTTAACCACTCTGACTGGTTTTTCCTAATTTCCAACATAAATCTCCCTTGCTGCAATTTAAGTCCATCATTTCTTTCCTATCTTCAGAGCTTAAGGAGAATAATTTTTATCTTTCATCCTTGTAATATCCTTTTAGGTACTCAAAAGCTGCTATCATGTCCCTTCTGTCTTCTCTTTTCCAGACTAAACAAACCCAGTGTTTTCAATCCTGCCTCATAAGTCATGTTTTCTGGACTTTTAATTATTTTTGGTGCTCTTCTCTGGATTTTTTCCAATTTGTCCTAATCTTTTCTGAAATGTGGCACCCAGAACTGTACACAATACTCCAGTTGAGGCCTAATCAGCGCTGAGTAGAGCTGAAGAATGACTTCTTGTGTCTTGTTTACAACACTTCTGTTAATACATCCCAGAATTATATTTGCCTTTTTTGCAAGTGTCACACTGATGACTCATACTTAGCTTGTAGTCCACTATGAACCCTAGACCCCTTTCTGTAGTACCCTTTCCTAGCTAGTCATTTCCCATTTTGTATCCTAAGTGCAGTACAGTACTTAGCATTTATCTGTATTGGATTTCCTCCTATTTACTTCAGACCACTTTTCCAGTTTGTTCAGATACTTTTGATACACAGTTCTATTCTCCAATACACTTGCAACCCCTCCCAGTGTGGTATCATCCACAAACTTTGTAAGTGTACTCTTTATGCCATTATTTATTAATGAATATATTGAACAGAACTGGACTCAGAACTGATCCTTGTGGAACCCCAAACCTTATGCCCTTACACTAGGATGATCCGAGGAATGGAAAACATGTCTTATGAAAGGAGACTTAAGGAACTTGGCTTGTTTACCTTAACCAAAAGAAGGCTGAGGGGAGATATGATTGCTCTCTTTAAATATATTAGAGGGATAAATGCCAGAGAGGGAGAGGAATTATTTAAGCTCAATACCAATGTGGACACAAGAACAAATGGTTATAAGCTGGCTATTAGGAAGTTTAGACTCGAAATTAGGCGTAGGTTTCTAACCATCAGAGGAGTGAAGTTCTGGAACAGCCTTCCAAGGGAAGTAGTGGGGGCAAAAGATCTATCTGACTTCAAGATTAAACTAGATGGTTTTATGAAGGGGATGGTTTGATGAGATAACATGATCTTGGTAACTAATTGACCCATTCATTATCAGTGGTAAATAGGTCAATGAAGGGATGATAGGAGTTACTATCTGGGTATCTACTATCTAGAGAACTTTCTGGGTATCTGGCTGGTGAGTCTTGCCCACATGCTCAGGGTTCAGCTGATCACCATATTTGGGGTTGGAAAGGAATTTCCCCCCAGGGTAGATTGGCAGAGGCCCTGGAGGTTTTTCGCCTTCCTCTGTAGCATGGGGCATGGGTCACTTGCGGGAGGATTCTCTGCATCTTGGGGTCTTTAAACCATCATTTTAGGACTTCAGAATCTGAGATATAGGCGAGTAGTGGGTGGGTGAGATTTTGTGGCCTGCATTGTGCAGGGGGTCAGACTAGATGATCGTAATGGTCCCTTCTGGCCTTAAAGTCTATCAGTCTATGAGTCTATGACTGTGAATTGTTGAAAACTACTCTCTGGGAATAGTTGTCCAACCAGCTATGAACCCAACTCAGTATTGCTCCACCTAGGATCTATTTCCCTAATTTGTGGATGAGACTTTGAAGACTTTGCACCAACTCATCCCCAATCCTTCATCTAGCTCCTGTAGCTCCATGATACCTGTGGTAGGAGTACTGGGGAGAGAAGAACTTGTGCTGCTGGTACTTAATTTGCTGGAATCCACAGAAGTATCAGGAGTATCTGCCTCCAGTCCCTTTAGCTCCTACTAGGTCACTTTAGATCAGGAGTGGGAAATATGTGGCCTACGGGCCAGACATGGTTCACCAGGGTTAGCATCTGGTGGGCCACTGAATACTTTATTTACCTGCATGTCTGCAGGGACAGGCACTTGCAGCTCCCAGACCATGCCACTTCCCACAGCTTCCACTGCAGGAACAGCAATCAGCTGCCAGTGGAGGCTGCAAGAG